CTGGACTAGCTTTAGCTAAAGCTGTTAAGGACCAGCCCATTTCCTGCAGCCCCAGTCATCCTTCCAGGAAGAAACGTCTGCACAGACCAACCATCAAGATTGTACTGTATTGTGATAGTATTTAGGCTCCATCTAGAACCTGGTCACCACTTTCTGATGGCTTCCCTGGCTGATAAGAAACCTGACTCCCACCCACAGCTCTATATAGCTCATGGACTATGGACATCTATTTGAAGTAATCATCTCTGGCATGATATGCTGCCATTTTACATAAATGATAGTTCCAGCACAGTATTATCTCTTTGAAGAAATCTTTGAAGAGCTGCAAAGATATAAAACAGTTAGTCCTTGCCTGCTCTCTGCATCTAGCTTGAACAACATCTGAAGTGGGAATTGGAAAAAAACAGCAGGAATACAGTAAGAGGAGACTTCAGCATCTTCCTGCACCATAAACATCACCCAAACACACCTGGAAGCCAGGCAGAGGCAGGTTTCTATCTGTATTCCTCCAGTAGCATATTGACACCTTTGGTCTTTACTGATTTAGTATCATTTCAAATCAATTCACCTGAGCATTAACTCTGTCTTCTGCAGCCTAGGGATTCTTGTTCTTGAGCAAAATTAGAAAGAATTCAGAAAAGGTAGAAGACCCTCTAAAATGACATCTTCCCTCTATGAAACTCACATGGCAGCAGCAGCTCCACTAGCCCTCCCCGTTCCAGGCAAAATGAAGAAACTGTTTTCAGTAATTGAGTCCTTCATATTCAAATTAAAGCCTCCAATTTCAGAAGCAACAAGGTACACAGGGTATTCAGTGAGAATTCACTCTTCCCCATCTCTCTCTCTCCCCATTTTCAGTAGCCAACATACACCCCAGTGACTATTTAGTTTTAGTTCTATTTTCTACAATAACAGTGCCTATGGAGACACCAGACAGTCAAGCCTAGTCTTGTAAATTTTTTGTCCCTTATCCTATGGCAGCACTTTCACATAATCCTGTTTCATTTGGAGCAAATATTAAATAATATAAGCTTTTTTTTTTTTTTTTTTTAAATGAACACTTGCCCTCATACATGGTATTTATTGTAATTCAGAACATATCAGATGATTTCAGTTACTCTGATTTGCAAGGACAGCTTCCTATGTAACTGAAAGCAGAGAGACAGCCACTGTAACCCAGGGACATTTTAATTAAACAGCAAAGTAACTTAATTCCAACAGAAGGCAGCACGGCCCAATGCAACTTGATATGGATGTCATGTTATCAAATTTTAAAGTCATAATCACAAAAAAAAAAAAACAAAAAAAACAAAAAAAACACAAAATCTAGGTACGATCTCTAAATATAGAGTTGGTCTGAGCATTGGCCATTTACAAAACAGGTGGGTAGGCATTCATCTTGTTACTCAGCAACATCCCCAAGTCATTGCTGGTAATCACAGAAAACATGTTTACTTTTCAGTGTGAACTATGACACCAACAAAAGTGGAAAGAGTTTAGTCAGGTGATTTTCAGCCTGTAATGAGAGGAACAGGGAGAAAAAAAAACCCAACACATTAATTTGAATTATAAGAAAACATCTTGATAAGTTTAACTGTGACAAAGTAAGGCTCAGCTTGGAGTCTAAGACAGCCGGGCACGATGTTGGCTGCATGACCATAACAGTTTCCCAAGAAATTACTCCAAGCTCAGTCCAATCCTCACACTGGCATGCAGTTGTTTACCAAGCGAGCAGTTACGCATGAACCCATACTTTAAAAACAACTAGCTAATCTCAGCTATAAAAAGAAGCATTTCCAAGGGGGTTTCTGAATGGGTTCACAATGCAGCACCCATGACGATGCACTGATGAGGCATAAGAGCTCAGCAAGGAAAGCATGCCAAGGGTGCTTCCTTGAAGACTGGAGTGAGTAGACTGTAGGCACAAGTTTTAAATCTTATGCTCCAAGCATACTGTTCCTGCCTCTCACCTTACGCTAGTTCACACATAGGTCACATACGATGTGGGAGATCCAAAGGAAAAGATCCATGGTGAGACCCTGGAGCCAAATCACTTGTCCCACCTTTACTCGTCTTCATTAAACATGTTCAAGACCCCCATTCCTTCATTAAATGAAGTCTTGAACATCTGCAGGCAGAAAAGTTGGGAGATCTGCATTCATACCAGTCATATTTGGTTTTAGTTCTGTAGCAGAGAGTCTTCTGGATAGAAGTCTTTAACTTTGCTCTTTAGCATAATTCCTTTAGTCTACAGCAAAACTTCAATAAAACAGTCCTTTGAATTAAAGAATTCTGTTTCGTACTAGACAGAAGCTTTTGCCTGTCCCTTTGAGATATTGGTCCAGTTTCTGAATCATTTATGCTTTGCCAGTTTTAATCTGATCAGCATCATATTCAGCCCAACATATTCATCAAACCTGCCCTTTCAAAGAGCCTTTTGTGAAATATCTTTCAATAAAAAATACTGCAATGTCAGTATAATACTACACATCATCTCAGCCAATTTTCATAGCATATCATCTGTAGCCCTTACTCAGCACATTGTTCAACGGCAGTATGCAATGCTGGAATCCAGTATCAGTATGATGTAGACAAATTAACAGCTACCAAAGGAATGCAATCATTTCTTGCAGCTAACCATAAAAATTATCAATTAAGCAAGGCACATAATAGACTATAAATCTAACAGAACTTAGCCGTTCCATTTGTTTTTGGTTTTGGCAATACAGTTTCTTAAGATCTGCAAATAAGGAGGTAATAAGCAATACATTTATTTTAGAATGAAGAATAATTATCTAAGCATTGAAATTTTTCTGTTCCACATCTGTTTGGCAACAATGGTAAGATCCAAGAAGATACAGAATTTAATTCTACATGGCAGAACTGAACATTTGCCTACCTCTAAGAGCCTGTCAACACTGACGATCAAACAATCAAACAAGGGAGGCAAAGATAAACGTGTTGTACCTCTCCTGCAACCTTCAAAAACAAAAAAACCAACAAAAAACCCACCCCATTTGAGCCTATTGCTCAGTGTAAATGAAGCCTTCCAGACAAAAGTAAATGCTTTCAGACAGAACGCAAGCATCCCTGAAAATCTTTTCATGAAAAGAACCTGCCCCTCCCCCAGTCAGAACTAGAGAAGTTAAAGTGAAAGCTGAAACACTAAGTCCTTGCTCTTGTCTATCAGTTAGTATGGGCACAGTGTTCAACCATCTGGATTAGCAGTCCTAACACATTGACTGCAGTGGTAATATAAGGTTATTCCACAGCCTGGCTTCTTTCCTCATACACAGGTAAGGTTATATCAGCAAACTGTCACAAATCACTAGCCAGATTTCCAAACACATCAAGCTGCCTAATTATAGACACTATCTCCATTGCAGAAGAGTACTATATGTTGCCCAATCATTAACATTAATTGTAGCTGGCTTTTTCCAGAAATTGATAAATAATGTAACACCAGTTTCATATTTAACATATTCAGGATGTACTGTTAGCATCAAGTGAAATACTTTTAAGATATTAACGTGCAGGCACACACATCCTGATCGCATCCAGTATACCTCTGCAGTGTCTCTGAGATGCATAGAATGTTACTACCTCCACATGAGTGCAATGAGAACTGACTACAAGCACAAATCCACTTCAGATTTGCAGGGCTCCTATTTGGAATTGGAGTTGCATTTCTGCATAGAATGAGTACTCAATATTTTTTTTTCCCTATGCATTGAATAAGAAATCTAAGAAATAAAGAACGGTCATTACACCTAGTTAACACGAGGAAAGAACAGAAGGCCAAATTACTGAACTGTTATTTTTGTCAGACTTTAATACGAACAAAAATAAGAGTCTCAGAAAGCTAGCAGAAAACGTCTGAAGGCAACCTGCTTTTTTCCACCTTGGGCCAGAAAAGGGAACTTCACCAGCTCTTATAGCTGCCCCACTTAAGGGATATCTGCCTTTTGCATAATTAGCTTTGAAAAAATAGTAACTCTGTTCATAGTACTTTGACAACAAAGGCTGCTCATTACACGCGTTTCTTTTTATCTTAAGGATTATTTGTGAGCCAGAATCACAGCACACATTTGAAGAACGTATTATGGCAGAGAAGTACATATGCTTCTGCAGAGAGCAGTATGTAAATCAGGAAAAACTAAAAACATCCAACTCATACAAGGCTTCCCAATGTGTTCCAGTAAACTTCAAACCTACAACAAGAAGCCAAAGCATACAGGACGTGCCACTGGTGGACAGGAGATTGCTGCGACTATGATGTAAGAATAATGAGACAAGTCTGCAATGTAGGAGAAGCAACAGATGCTACTGCACAGAGCACTGAAAGCAGAGCAGGCCCAGCTGAGCCTTCCTGACTTGCTCAGGAAAAGCCTCCACCTCACACAGCATTCCTTGCACAATCCCAGCACCAACCTTGGGTTAAGCAAAAAGCAACACAGGCATACAGAGCTGGACTGCAGTGAGAAAGTTTCAGGGCAGCAGTTCCAGGAGCTCATTTAGGGCCTGCCTGGCATTCCAGCATTGCAACTCTCTCCCCTGTATCTCTTCTATTACGCCTCCCACATATATTTTATTGATCCCTTTTATTTGCTTCTCTCTTTGCTATATCCATTCAGAAAATAACAGCAAAAATAAGATCGGTATCACATTTTTTCCTTTTTCAATCAAATCCGCTTTGTTGAAAGCTCTCCGACTCATCACAAGCTCACTTCAGCAGGTCCAGCCAACTAAACTGCAGTTGTGCAACAAGAGATGCCCCTGGTTCTGCCAGACTGCAGCAACTTGCTTAGAAATACTCACCTGAGGCTTCTGCGAACACATCTCCAACTTCAATCTGAAGACTTTCAACTTGTATAACCAAGTCAGCATTTCTTTACATGGTTTCAAAAATCATGTTTATTCCTTGGTTTAAAAGATTTTGGTTCAACAGTATCATAAACAAACTTCACCAAAAGTGCAATAATTATAAACATAGTCCTCAGTCGCAGTGGTAGTAAGAATCTTTACTTTCATCATAAAGTTCATTAATGCAACAGAAGGATGGTTTTGTTCTTCCTCCCTCATTGGCACTTCATTGTAAATTGGAGAAACTTTAAAAAGTCAGAAAGTTAATCTAAACATGATGTTACAAGCACCTTGCCATAGCATTATATTCTCTTAAGGCAAATTTTTGTTTCATAAAGTCTGATTGTGCAACTTGGAGACCTATAAAAGGTGACAGAAATGTCATTCTTCTCCAATAAGAAATAGGCCTTCATTTTTGCTTCAATGTCTTCAACCCTTCACACTCCCTATCCCTTAAAAAACAACAACAAAAACAGTACAGCCAATAATACAGCACAATATATCCATTACAGGCTGAGAGGAAATTGCAGTAGACAAAGGCAGAAAACACAGTGCACAGTAGACAAAATAAGACTGTTCTTAAAAAAAGGGGGGGAGGGATAAAAAAAGGGGAAAAAAAAAAAAAAAAAGCTGACCATAAACCAGCAATAGAATTTTTCTAGTGGATAAGGATTTTTGGACTTCATAAATAAGTGAAAAATTACTAAAATCCTTTGCTATATCATATGTAAAAAAAGGCATAAAGTAGTGTTTTCCAGTTGTCAGCTAAGCACTAGAAGCAACTTTGTAGGAGTAAGTATTTGGAGGCAGCTTTGAGCTCTGATTGGTACAAGCATTCCAGCAGGGTAACGCTGCCAACAGCAGAAGAAATCCTCCCAGTAAAACACAAAAGCCACTGAAATAGAATGCAGTGTCATACTCCTGCGTCCAGTCATAAAACCAACCTGAGGGTGAAAATAAAAGAGAAAAGCATCAGTGAGGAGTTAAACAGAACGCAGCACTGTAAATCAAAGGAAAATCACGGGGATAAAACAAAAGGTTAAATTTAATGCACACTATGACCACTTACACATGACACGTGCTCTTAAGCAAAGCTAAAAACAGAACAAAATCTGGAGAAACAGGCTTTAAGCTTTAAGATTTTTATATCATCTTTCTATTGTTATTAGAATGAAGCAGGACTACCCACATACACATGGGATTCTGATAATCTCGTGTTAATTTTAAAATATTTAACTTGACCTTACCTACAATCGGTGGTCCGAGGCTGTTTCCAAGTCCAGCAAAGAACATCAGTATCCCATAAGCATGAGTCAGTTTCTCAATTCCCACAGTCTTTGTTGTTACATATGGAAAAATTGACCAGTTCCCAGTCAGAAAACCCAGAATCCCAGAAAGCACTGCTAACGTAAAGTAACTTCTGGCAAATGGAATTGCAAGCAAGGCCGCTCCCATCATTAGTAAGGTAAGTACATATAGATATAATGTGTTAACCCACTTAAAATCTGCCAGTATTCCTAAAATAAGTTTGCCAATAGCAGTCATAATGCCTATAATGGAAACAAGGGGCATATGATAGTCTTCCTCATTGATGTTTGCACTTCTCGCTATGTCTTCCATGAGCAGAGAAGGAGGAAATCCACCAATATCAAAGAGCAAGATGGCAAAAAAGAGAGCTGAAAATACTCTGTTCTTAAAAAGAACTACAGTTTCCTCCCAGTAGTTCAAATAGAGCTGCCATTTTCTTTTGGCTAGTTGCTTGCAGAAGTTCGTCTGTTCCACAACTTTCTTTTTATAAGTGTCTTTCTCATTTACATTTATTGAGCTCAATACATTCTTAGTTAAAATGTTATCTTGTTTGTAGTCAGGCACATTGTTTGTGCATTTCTCATCAATGTAGCCCTTTTCAAGGATGCTTATATTTTCTTCAACAGTCTTTTCTTTTTCATGGTAAACAAAATATTGATCTGGGACTTTGTCTATACGTGTTTTTTCTGGTGAAGGGGAATCAGATGACTCCAATGGTCTCATTAGGCTGCCACACGCTAATATATTTAGAGATAGTGCACCAACTATTAGCAGGCAACCATCCAGTCCGTACAGCTCAATAAGCTCTCTTTGCAGTGCTGCATATATAAAGAGTCCAACACTTGAGCCTATAAAACAAGAATAACGTAGCTGAGAACTTTGTTCACCAACAAGAACTTAACATGCCTGTGACAGCATATTTTGTAGTTGTTAAAGTGCAGAAGTCATTTGTGCTCCTCTTTTCTCAATCTAATAAACTGGTTACCTTCCCTGTTTAAGTTTTGATTATGCACAAAATGTTTTTCAAAACATTGGAGAATTTATGATGATTAACACCAGCAGACACTTTTAGAAACAAGTAGAATCCACACAGTATCTGATGAAAAACATAAATATTCTTCTGCCATGCACATGCATACACATATCCCTTTAGGTACCATGTTCAGTAACACTTTGAATCAGTTCTGTTAGAATTACACGCAAGATCATTTTCTCCTTTCTCCTCACTGCTGCCACCTGCCTCCTCTAAGGCAGAAAGAGACCAGTGGTTCACCAAGAGCCTTTTTACAAACGGCAGGTGACCGTCTGGTGTTTAAAGAGAGTAGCTCAGAGCCTACAGGTAAATTTACTCCAGAGGCACTTCTGAAGCCCTACAGGTCCAAACATGCATTTGAGAAATCTGACTACTCAGAAGAAAATATTGAAGGGTAAGCAATTACAATGAGCACAAGCATTTTATGCAATCCTACCTATGTAAAATATACACTCTTGGCTAAACTGAGCACAGATTCACTGTATAATCAGTGGATATCCACTCACAAATACAAAGCACTGATTTTTCAAGTCAATTTAAAGACAAACTTTAGGATGATTTTCTGAAGAATCTCTAGGTTTTATAAAAGTAATCCATAAACTTGAACGTATGAACTAACTAACACTCAATACGATCAAGTCCCACAGCTAACTGCCTGCAAACCCAATAAAAGCCACTAAAAATATTTCCAGGGCACAATGCAGTAGTGGTTCCCCTTCATTACACCAGTATAGGTCAGCTGTACATAACTTGCAGTACTAACCGTACTGACCAGGCCCCTCTTAACTAACCACTGCTTGAGAAAAAGGGTCGAAGGAAAGACACAGTACAACACAGAAAGGCAGGTGTGGAACAGTATGCCTCTTCAACTATTTCTACTTGGTTCATTAAGTTAATTTCTCTTGGTAAAAAGTACAACACCACACAACCTAAAGACTGAGAAAGGCTGCTCAGCAGCCTTCAAAGGTTCATTCTTCTAAGATCCCTTTCACATGCATGGATAAAAGCTGGGATGAGCTTTTGGAATCTTTCAGACATTCATCTTCCTTTTATACTGAAAAGGAAAACAAAAACAAAACTAAACCCAAACTTTAACTCTAGTTTTTAGGAAATAGTTGGTGTGAAATTATGTTAATCCAGCATTTAGATTTATATCTCCAGTCTCTTTTATCCATAATCTTGTGTAAGTACAAAGAGAGAGAAGAGAGCTGTGTAGAAAGTTTCCCCTGGTATTACTCATGGCACACAGCCTGAACTACTCCTAATCTATTTTCATTTTGGTGAATTGCCTTTTCTCATCTATATGGATAATCCACGCCATACAACTGCAGATGTAGTTACTAATTTATCTGAAGCTGGTTGTTACATGCTCATCGCTACTGAGGCTTTCACTTCAGGAAGTAACTAAGAAAAATATAATGCTCCGTTTTTCTACTGACAGAATAACGTTAGCACTGAAAGAGAATGGCAATTAAAAATCATACCTGTTGAAATCAGACCAAGTGCAAGGCCTCTGCGTTTGTCAAAATACTGGCAAGTGATGGTCACCGTTGCAGTATACAAAAGGCCACATCCAAGTCCTGCAAAGAAAGAGAAATAAGGCATACGGTGTATTCAGGGAAATGAACGCCTGTTTATTCCCTCTATGATGCAGTGGTGTACCCCAGACACAGAGATACTTTTAAAGCTGGCTCAGCACCCATCACACTGACAGTGACACACTAGACTGCCAGCACTGTCCAAACCTTCTCTCCCTACGGGCGGTCCCAGTTCACAAATCTGCAAGAAGCTGGCTCAGTTTGAGCAGTTCGCCAGCTCATATTTTATGCTATGTGAAAGCAGTTAAATGGCTGGCCTGGGCCAACAGTACAGCTTTGTCTGCATGGCACTGTACCATAGCCAGGACACCCTGCTGGGTCCTGACGGCCAGTAAGGCGTCTAGATTCTTGACACAGTTAATTGGAAATTTGATAACCACCCACAGCAGCCCTCTGCAGCAAAAAGACAGCCTCCCTCCCACCAGGAGAACAGCACTTTCATGCCTTTAGCAGAGCACCTTAGGTTCAATCCAGTTATGTGGAGAACAACACTGCTCCTTAATGATCTCTAATTTACTAAGTTAGAATGAGTACATGACAAAATTCCTGAAGGGATTTTATTCTTTTAAGATTAGTGCTTCCTGCCCACAGAAGACCTGCTTGAATCTACCCCTCCCTCAGAATAAATGAGTCTTTCCATCTCTAGTAATCATATTAACACAGAACAAACTGCTTTTAAATCCTGAAGAACATATGCATTGCCTTTGTCTTTTACAACGTGGTAACAGGCTGCCTGTGTGACCCACCCTGAAGTAAGTTACCCCATGGTAACTCAAGTCCCAGACCATAGCTGCCTCTGTGAATCAGCTTCTTCTTTCAGATTACTAAACCAAGACTTAACAAGCTCTAAGTCTCTATATGAAAGGGAGCTGTTTCTTACCAACAACAATCCCATATGAAAGATAGAGAAAGTATATGTTAGGTGCAAAACTGCTCATCATGAGGCCACCAGCCACCATAAAGCCACTGAAGATTGCTACTGGTCTTGCTCCAAAGGATGATACGCAAATGCTGCACACAGGACCTAGGTAAAAAGCAGGAAAAACAGTCTTGTAAGATAGCAGCAACAGGAAGAAATACAAAAAACCTTGGTCAACAGAAATGTTCCTTGTGATAATAAATATATAATTACACTAAAAAACAATTGAGTACACACAGGATTCTTTAAGACTACATTATCAAAACATAAAAGATCAAGCTTGCAAGAATTCTGCTCAAGGAATGCAAAATTATAAGAGCAGGGAGGAAGGGAGAGAGCAAAACATAATTTAAAAATAGGATAATGCATACATTCTAGACTATAACACTGTGACTACAAACCTATGGACTTGTATGAAGGTTCTGAAAAAGCCTTCATCTGTACATACCAAAAAATTTAGACCCTCAGCCCGGCTGTAGCCAAGCAGACTTTTTTTTAATAGAAGAAAAAAAACAAAACAGTGTTTCAGGAAAGAGTATCAGTAGTCATCTTGATATAAGATGAAAGGTAGAAAACTGAAATGGAAAACATCTGATCATAATCACAGTAACAATGCCACCTGCTGCTTAGACAGAGGAAACATCTGCTGATGTAGCACATAAAGGCCAATGGTACTCTTCCCTGATTTTCGAGGGAATATCTGCCAGTCAGTATTTTACTAAACAACTGTTTATTACCGATCTTGACTATTACTGTAAAATTATGGAAAATAGAAGTCGTTTATTGAGAATGTCCAGAGCAATGTTCACAAAGTTTGCAAGAGGTTTCTCCTTCTCTCTGTCCCCCAATATTTCCTGGTTGGTTGGTTTTTCAAAACAAGAAGAAAAGACAGGCAACAGCCACACTCTGCCTCTACTGAATCAGTTCTTCCCTCACAGAAGTTGTAGAACAAGCACTTAATTTTCTGTTGTGTGGCCTTTCAGCATGCAAGCTCGGCGTCCTGCATAAATAAGTAACCAGCACGGGACTGAGTTCACAAAAAACAAATGCTCTTCTGAAACCCCCCAGTTCCAAACATTCATAGACATACCTCAGACCCACAATACTAAATTTGTCAGCCATGAAATCAGAAGTGTGATATACATTCGAATGACATTATTTAAAGAACGAAACAAAACAAAAAACCCTCACCATCTTTGCATCATGTTCACATCGATAGAAAAGCACCTCACAGTCAATAGAATCTGTGAAAGCAGTAATTTCAGAGTCTGCTCTTTTTCGGGTCGGTTCTCCGACTCACACAGAACTACGATTCCCGGCAGATGAGAGCTGAGCCCAGACATGATATAAGGTGAACAACAACACTTGGAGCTGATGACGGTGCTTGCCTAGGTTTACAGACAGGAGCTAGCAGCTGGGAATGCAGACAAGGTGTTTGTGTGGTTACCAGCCATGGGACAAGGAGTTCTGGCAGGCAGGAGCACTGATTCGTTAGCAGGTGAAACAGCCCTCAGATGGAAAGCAGGTCAGAACTTCTGTCCTGTGTGAGAGCTGTTTGTTTAGGGAACTTAAAGAGAACACAGTTTGAACTGAGGCTTAACTACGCAAAAAGTCAGAGTTAAAGAAGAAAGGAGAAAATCTTCTGGGGAAGTTGTGTTTATGTGCATTCTGGAAACAATGAGAAAGGAAGATATAAGCACTCACTGCTTCTCAAGAACCAGCACGCTGTGGGAATGAAAGCCAGCCAGAATAACTTGGGCAGAGCAACTTGCCAAGAACAAAAGCTGAGAGTGTTAGATTGATGCTGATTCCTAGAATTACTTACAAGAACTGGCAAATTAAGATTGGCATGTTTCTTAAAACTGCAGGGTTTATAATAAATAAAGGATTGGTTTTTTTTTAATCTGATGCAGATTCAAACTTCTACACTGAAAGAACGTTAGGCAGTGATAACATAATTCAATTAAGCAGAGGAATTTGCACACTTTCTATCCATTATTTCTTACCCACTGCCCTGCTGAAATGAACAGTATTTCCCTTACATGTACTCTCTATATTGTGACATATTCTTCTTTCAGAAGCTCTCTGCCCAGCCTGCAGTGCTGATATGGATTGCACTGGTTGCTAGCAAAGGATTCAAAGTAAAATGGGATCTTCTGGAACCCAGCCAGAGGAAGGGGGGGTGGGGGACCGAACCGAGGAACACATCTGTGTACTGTGGCAAGGGCACTCTTCTCTGGAACATCATCAGAAACAGCTCTGACAGGGTCCAAGGAGATGTTCTACCATCTTCTCCCCATTACAAAAAATAATCCCAAAAGAGAATAGAATGTACAAAGAGATCTTTCTGCTCTGACATGGAAAACAACCTGCACAAAACTAAATAACTCATTCCAGTAAGTTCAGAATTAATATGTCGTCTCACACAGCAAGAGATTTGGCATCTCAGCAATGGCTCTGTTTATAAGAAGGAGCACCAGAGTAACTATTAAAGCAGTTATAGATCTCCAGGATGAGAAGAAAAACAGATCCATCTTCCCTTCCACAACACGCCTTACTTTCTCACTCCCATTATTATACTGCTAGAAAATAAGTCACAAAAGAAAACCCCCACAGGAGCAAGCATCTTTGTTTCATTTTCCTGCTTCTCCACAGTTCTTAACTCTGTTTCCCAAAGAGCTTTCACTTTTTTCAATAAGCAAAGTATGTTTGGTTATTACCATGGTATTTGCACAGGAGTTTACTGTACACAAACATGTCATTCTCTACAAGTAATTCAAGCACAATGGGTTCAAAGCAGTTAAATCTGGTCAAACATTCAACTTTCCCAGAGTGGGACTGAGACTTGCTCTGTGAACTCCTGCCCTGTGGATTTTGTTCAAAGTGGACGCTTGTGTTCTCAAGAATGTAAGAGTCAACGTACAATCACTCAGCAAAAAGCTTTACAGGCAGCGTTAAGGTTTTTATTTAGTCAAATGTTTCAGAAAGATCCTTCTACTGATAATCCATTTCCCATCATAACATCAACAACAGAAAATAGAATCCCAGTGGCAATCCTCAATAGGAAGCACAGATAATGTTTTGTAGGCCAAGATTTTCTTCACTTTGCTAAGCAACCCCAGGGGTTAGAACTAGTATTGGAATAGTATTTGAAGACATGGCTCACAATATACCTCTTTAACAAATTAAACCTCAGAGTGTTTTTTTCTTCCAAGTAAAGTCTATCAGGAAGAAACCAGCCCACTTTACCAGAGGGGAAGCTAACTTAGGAAGAAAACTGAGTTCTCTGAAAGACTTCAAAGGCAGCACTGGGACTGCCAGTGGTGTTCTGCACACAACCTGTCAATGATCAGCTGCCTGGTAATTGTTCTATATGCAGATGAGTGGTCCAGAAAAAAATTGGAAGAGACAGCAGAAAGGACGCGCTTTCTCTTGATGGAAAATGATCAAAGGGAAAGAACTCCAGAAAAGAATCAAGCATACACTGATGTTTTCATTAGGATTTTCTAAATAAATAAAAGATTTTATACTCAGTGAGATCTGGATGTGACAGCGATTCCTTCATGAAATGTGAAAACAAGACATATGATGCAAATGCAATATCTTCACAACTGCTGTGATCTTCCGACCTCTGTAGACACACTCCTTCCAAACAGATGCTTCCGTCTGCAATTTCACTACAGAGCTGTTTTATGGCATCAAGAGCTAACACTCTCCTCCTCAATGTTCTCACACAGAGCAAAAAAAATACTGCAAACAAATATGCTCTTCCTCCACCCTCTCATATCTACAGTCCTCCCTCTCTCACTTCACAGCTACTAAACAAACAATGCTGGACAACAGTTCTTCTTCTTATCTCCTGCATTAATCTGACCCATCCTACCTGTTGGTATCTGTACCAGCTTGTTGAAACAGCAGAATAAAAGCAATGCTCATAAACTGTAAGCAAAATCCACTGGAGATAACACAAGAGCGTTTTTTGGATATTACAAGCATTGCTAAAACCTGCTGAAAACAAACACAACATCCTCTAAGAGTTTGTATAAGAACGTAGATAAGAAAAAGCAATCCCTCTCCAACTCATCAAAGAAGATCACTCCCTTTTGATAAAATTACTAAATGGAATGGGCTTCTCTTTGGAGGAATCTGGGGACCCTCTCTACTCCTTCCATGTTCTGTACAGCTTCCACAGCCCTGGGTGGGCGCTACCCACATGCAAGGTTTTTGTCCAAAAGTCTGTAGATGGTCTTTTGCAGAGTTGTACAAATATTGCTTGACAATACAAAAGCTCACCGTTTTTTTAGACATTTAACACAAAGTACCTCAGGCCAGCAGAAACACTCCATTAATTTATCAAGACATGCTTTTCCAGAAAGTCTTCCCTTTGTTCTTAATCCGTCAATAAAGGGAAGAGGGAATGGGAGACATACTGCTGGCTTACCGTAAACTGTTGTGGTGCCAACTACGGGTGCCAAGGTCTTTGCCTGTTTTGCTTTTAACAAGTATAACATGGATCTAATTTAATTTCAGGCTCCAAATGGATGTCAAATTAAGAACACTTGGTGCAGGAGAAAAAAATCTTCAAGAACATTATACATATTTTCCTCTGGCTTGCTTTACGAAGCAAAACATAAGCGCTTTTAATTTCTTCCTACACAACAAGTTCTACATCATCCCTGGAGCCATCTCCCACATCTATGATAACCAATCAGTGTTATGATACCTTATGTTGTAGACATTGTCTCACCACTGCCCTGTACAATGACACTGGTGTATTCTCTCTCTTTTTTTTTGTACGCATGCTTCTTTCAATACACGGTCACAGGAAGTTCTAACTTGAGTCATCCCGCAAGGAAGCAGTCAGGTTCCCTGTCCCACTTCCTTCTCCAGCTGATGAGCTCTTCAACTCAGGGCTGGACACTGGCCTTAGCCACACAGCCTGTGCTCCAAGAGGACAGAAACTGAACACCAGGGTACCAGGGAATTCGTCTCAATAAACAAGGTGCTGTACTAGGTTTCTATGCCTTGATCTAAGTTTAGCTCTCACACAAGCAGAGTAAACACTGTAGAAAGGATATCAGCAAAGCAAATTTAACAGTACTCACCAGCATCTACTACTTTAAAAAAATGTTTAAAACTCCATTTACAGACAGGACAGAAACTTTTCTCACTACCAGTTGTCTTTCACATAAGAACATATTCCTGTTTTCAGTTAAATTATGGTATCAATCTAGCAAACCCACTAGACATACCTCCCACTGTCACAGAAATTATCTAATGTATTTTTCAATGCTGTTAATGAGAAAAACAAAACAAAACAAACAACAACAACAAAACAGAAGACTGGTATCAATGGCAAAAAGAAACTGAAATGAAGAACACAGGCTTAAAAGAAAAAATAATTACATTGTAGTCTCCAAACACAAACCACACTTATTCTGGACACTTCAAATATACCATTTTTAAAGATCAACTCATTAATCAGCTGAAAGTTAAAACTAAACAGCCTCTATGATAAGATTACATACTCTCAAGGAAGCAATTAACTACTGAGAAAAGTTAGAAGAGATGGAGAATGCACTAAAGAAACACTTTCTGATAATTCAGAAAAATATCTATTAGCCTGATCATCTATTTAACATAGGCTACAACACACAATGGTCCTGTGCATCTGGCCTGTAATACTAGACCCTGCAGCAACAGAATTAATAACAGAAATAAGTTCATTTGTTCTATATTCATGAAAAGGTTCTAACACTGCAGTGTGTTATACCACTGTTTTTGCACTAACAACACATGCTCTTTGCACTACTGACTGGGTCTTTCCTACTATGAACTCTGCAGGAAAAACAGTTTTTGTAAGAGACTGCATGTTCCACAAACAAGAAAGAGAATACTCCTTGTACCAATCTAGAAGGCTAATCTACTGAAGCCCTTGGAATTTTAACATGATAAGAGATCGAGACATTCCTACAAACAAAAAAAGGATTAAATAACCATATCTTTTTATGGGCTTTTTGTAGCTATTCCTGCTCTTAAGTGGGCTGATCTTTAATAAAAACACTTTCAGAGAATTACAGTCTTTAAGGTCACTTTTTACGCAACATGAAAGCATTCTGATGAGCTTTACAGTCACTGACAACAATGCATCCTTCTTACACTGCAAGGAAAGAAGAACAGATCTCCCACAGAGAGCAACAGAAGATATGATGGGTGCACAGACTCCTGAGCATCATCAATTTCATTATTTTAGTCCTCACTAAACCTCCTTCATAAAGCCCTTATTAGCAATAAAGAGCTTTTATCATCAGAGCCAGAAGTTACTCCCTCAAGAAATAAGATTTCATATAAAAGAACAACAGGATTTTTCCTTTATTTCCTGCTGTGAACACCAAACCAACTGGACAACATCATCATTACTGTGTTTGTGTTAGTCCCACAGAGAAACTTTTACATATTTCAATTTAAAGGGTATTGGGGGAATTTTCCAGTAGAATACCAGCACATCACAGAATTGTAAACCCTCAAAAGCATTTTAGTTTTTCAGTAGAGGTTAGGATATTCACAGTGCCCCCCAGTAAGTTTATGTCAAGTAGAGTTACCACTGAGGTCAGATCCCAGCTTGACAAGACAGCAGGATCTTCCACTTAACATAGAGCAGGGAACATAATTTTTGTTTTCAGTCAACTCTGATAACTTCAATGCAATTAAAATATTTCTCTGTGCTTTTCCTTGAACTAAAGTTACAAATTACTATTCAGCTTTCAAATCCCAAACTGAAAGAACAAAATCATACTGACAGACTGTCAAAATTTCAAGCAATTTAATCATTCCATACAAAAACAAATTAAAACAGCACCTTTTTCCTGTATCATTCAGTCACAGAAGTTTCTATTTGCCTAAAACCATATTACTGACAATTGATCACAGAGGCAAGGCAGAGGGAACTAAGAAAGCTGGAAATTAGCACGGTGTTGCCATATGAAGAAAGGGCATAAGGCTCTCATTAGAGGAGTGAGCCAAAGATTTCCAGTCTCCAGAGAGGTTTTTCCTCACTCCTTCTCTTGCAATCCCTTTCTGCCTAGTTTTCCTTCAGTAACTATCTTGTTTGGCCTTATTTTCTCCCACAAGTTTGTTTAGGCTTTAATCCTTTCATAAAAAGAGTTAATGCCCTCAAAACAGAAAAATAAAATTCTATAATAAAAGAATAGACTCCTACACCCTGAGACTGAATATAGTTGTGTGGTGATCCATCTGTCTTCGCCTATTTCTGTTCTGCCTAGTGATATAAATCCCTAACACAAATGCAAGAACAGTATTTGGCCATTTAGAGTTGTATAAAGCAGAGGCTTTTATTCATTTCTGTATCATGATTTGAATGTCAGTTCTCTTTTCAGGAGAGATTTCCTCAGAATCCTGGACTAGATTTCAGCCATTAAATTACTTGAATGCTTTTGCCCATAGCAATATTTCTGCTGATGGGCCATTTTTGTCCAGATTCAGCAAAAAGGTAATAGCTCCCTTGGCAAATCTCTGAAAAGCATAAGTTAGTCATGTTACCAGTAGCGTACCCACGGCTCAGTAGTAAAACAACAGCAAAATGGACCTATGGACTTTCACAGTGGTGCTTAATTCTCACAAAACCCTGCTGTTTCTCTTCAAGACAATGTCTTCCCCCCCTCCCCAAAAAAAATGCTTCCAGTGAAATTATTTTATTTAATGCCATTTTTTCCATGGCTTTAAAACCTTCAAGAGCAGCTTTTTTCACCTCAAACAAAAAGCAAGAGCCCAAATCTACTTTAATTGGTGAATTTATTTCTAGAGACAAAAAACAAGTAACTAGTTAATTAATTGACCTTTTTTGTTTCTGAAGCACTCGAGACATTTCAGAGTAGCCGTTTGACCTGATTTTAAAGACACTAATGCAAACGTTAGCCAAAGCCACATTAAAAAAAAGTTATATCAATAAAATTACCATTCAGTTTCTCAAGTATAGTTTAGTATTTGTAGATTATTCAGATACAGTCATTTTGAACTTTATAAAGTTAATACTTCTTTTGCTATTTTACAATTGCTTTGGTTTATTTAAAGTGGAACTATAAAAACAATGGTCTTACCTATCTTGATCTGAAACAAAAATACACTATCCCTCATGCTCTTTCATCATTTATAGCTGTGTTTAATAAGCACACGCAGATTAAAGCATCTGTTAGAAAGGAAATGTTTCCATTTAAGATAGATAATGCATCTACACTTACTGGCAAGCAATCCGATTCCATTTGCTAGTGATCCAACCCAAGCAGTCTTGCCTTTTCCTTCTCCAAAAGCATCCAACCATTCTAAATACAAGACTCCCACCGCCAGCGGTGATCCGTAACACAAGAACTGAGTAAAGAAGGAAACGATAACAATCACCCAGCCCCAGCCACCATCGGGTGGTTTCTGAAACACCATCTTGTCAGATGAGCATAGATGGACACGTAGGCCCTGTGCAAACAAAAAACAAGCAAAAAAAAAAAAAAAAGAAAAAGTCAGAACAGAGCATTAGGAATTGGGCTTGCTAATATAACTGAGCTGTAGAAGTGAGATACTGCCAAACAAACTTCAAGAAATATAATAAAAAGCAGCATCCAAGCAATGAAGATGAGTTGCTGTTTGGTATTTATGACCCTTCATTGTCATATACTGCTCCTGTGGTACAGTGAGAGTCATATATTAGTATGTCACACATCCGTCAGCACTGCATTGCAGAAATGGATCGCATTTCGTTTGCTGAATGTTACGGAAGCTTTGTGGAGACCCCAGGCACCAATACATGGTGCAGTGCAGCAAGAGAAACACTTGGCCATTAGCAGTTATGCCCTTGGTTATCCTAAGCAAGTACACAGGCCCAAAGGCAAAGGATGACTACAAGTATAAAGTAACTCCAATAAATAATTTAGGTATGAAAAAAATTCACAAGCATACAAATATTAGTTCAAGGCATGGCAAGATCCACCATCTGTGCATCTCAGCTTTAAATAACTAACTGTCCTCACCTTCTTAGACTAGTTTCTGAATGTAGAGAATGGTGTCTCTAACTTGTAGCAAAGGATTTATAAGTTTCCAGGCTAAATTGCTTTGGAGTTTGGACGACTCCAGTGATACGTGAGTTCCCATGCATGCAACTAACCTGCCCTCCCTCTCTTTAGGGAGCAATCTGCTGAACTGATGATCACAAAACCCATGTTCTGTTCCTGGCTCTCTCACTAACCAGATGTGTGATTCTCAACCATTTTATTTTCTTTACCCTGTAAGACAGAGACAGATAAGATCTTACTCTGTTTCCTTCAGGACATTTTCACACCACAGCTTAAGCATTAAGAGTGCTGCAGTAATGGTTCTGCTCTGGGAGACCCCGGGGGCAAAACAACCAAATAAGCAGGTCTTATTGTCCATTTGTGAAGAGGTGCCAGTTCTTGAACATTTTTCAGTGAAAAGGGAAAAAAGATTGCTTTATGAAAGTAATGATCTAAATGAGAAGACAGTAACAGAAGTCCCATTCCTTCAGACTCTTCCCCAGGCTCTTCATGATCAGTTTTTAAGGATTCATGTGGAAAACTCACAAAAAAAGAAAAAATGCAGTATAAAATTGCAAAGAATAACTACTATACAGTGAGACATGAAAGGAGCTGGCTCCATCTATTCATAGATACAATACTGAAATGTTACTTTAGGAGTAGATACTTACAGATGACAACAGGCAAGTCCTGCAGCCCCCTACAAATGTAGCTTCATGTGGCAGCTCCACCTGCAGAAAAAGAGCAGCAAAGCAACTTTTCAGCCCAAGTATCACTGCAACAGTGGAAACAGTATCTTTACAGAGGAACTTCAGAAGAATTCAAGTTACGGAGTTACCTCAGTGGAGAAATACTGATCCCCCCCCAATTAATCAACAGCTGACAGCAGCCTTGAGCACCAAGTAACAATAACATGACCTACTAACATAAAATAAGCCTTGACATTCGAGGTCTTTGGGAAAAGATTTATGGTTTTAACATAATAACTGTCCTTCACGATACAGTATTTCCAGTTACAATCATCACAAAGTTTTTTTTCAGCTACAAATCTAAATTCTGATTTACTCCTTCAAATGCCTGGCAACTGTCCCTTGATCACATTGGATGCCAGGGTGATAGCTGAAATCACAGGATACCATAAGGTATCAGCATACTAAAAAGCTGCTTATAGATATCTTCCAACAATAACCCTTACAATCACACAACAGAGGATCTCCTCTATGTCTAAACAAAATGCACTACATGTATACAGACATAAGAAGACTGGGCACATGCACCTCTTCTTGCACTAAAGAAGTGTTTGCTTTGACCCTGAATGGGGTAAAAATGGTGGGAATTAGTTACAGCATCAAGAAAAGACAGTTCCACTGGGAAAAAAGATCACATTGTAGATTTTGAAAACTCACCAAAATATAGATATATACAGTGAATAATCCCAACTCTTATTTGTTTAAAGTCTCTAGAAAACAATACATGATAGCTATTATGCTCTCACTAAAACTAAGCAAAGACACAGCTCTTACCTAACTCAGTTCTGCTGTTCTTTGATATGATGGGAAGGAAGGGAGGGCAGGTGGTGAAAAGTTTTCACAGCCTTCAGTCTTAGTCTTTTCTAAAGTCTTTTCTAAGAAAGGTTAACAGAAAATTTGGACCAGCTCCTCATCTGCCTGTAGTCTGCATGGCTTTATCAACTTTAACAGAGTTCTGCCAAGTTAGGGCAGCAAAAGAGCTGACCTTTGACTTCCCAGAAGCCTCCTATTTTGCATAGCAGTTTTCTTCCACATATTTTAGCTAAAATGACAGGTTTATAGACAGCAAAAATTTATCTTTTCTAAGCACTTCAGGCCATTTGCAGTCCGCAACTGTCAAGCACAAAGTGAAAATCACCATCACTTCCCCACAGAAATCATCCTTGTACTGAGAGAAGTATTTACCAAATCCCACAGATTGTTTTTACCAGCTATCATGACCTGGCTTTTCTTTCCCTCTCTTGCAGGTCCCTTTAGGGACATTGCTGTGTGCTTATTATCTACAATAAGGGACATTTTCTTACTGCCCTGAAGGCATGAAGTTCTCCCATGGAGAGGGTGTTAGCCAAGAATCCTGTACAAAGAGCCTGTCCCCTGGAGCTTACTGCTAGGGTACGTGGTTAAAGGTACTCCAGTAAACCAAGCTATTATCATGATTGTGGACATCAAGGTACCTTTTATTGGTACGTTATTTAATACTTCCCTGCAAATGGCAAATTGGAATACAAAATTATTTAGCAGAGCCCTGCTGAAAAGGCCTTGGGGTACTGGAGGATGGCAAGCTGGACATGAGCCAGCAAGGTACCCTTGCATCTCAGAAAGCAAACCGTATCTTGAGCTGTATCCAAAGCAGCATGGCCAGCAGGGTGAGGGAGGTGGTCTTGCCCCTCTTTTCCATGTTGGTGAGACCTCAGTTAGAGCACCGCATCCAGATGTGGGGTCCTCAGTACAGGAGAGACACAGAGCTGTTGGAGCACATCCAGAGGGGGGCCACAAACATGATCCAAGGGATGGAACAACTCCACTACGAGGACAGGCTGAGAGAGATGGAGCTGTGCAGCCTGGAGAAGAGAAGGCTCCAGGGAGACCTGATAGAGACCTTCCAGTATCTAAATGGGGGGTATATTAAAGAAGGGGACAGACATTTTAGCAGGGTTTGTCGTGACAGGACAGGGGAAACAGTTTCAAACTAAAAGAGTGGAGATTTAGATTGGATATAAGGAAGAAGTTTTTTTTACAGTAAGGGTGGTGAGGTGCTGGAACAAGCTGCCCAGAGAGGTGGTGGATACCTCAACCCTGGAGACATTCAACCTGAGCAACCTGATCTAGCTGCAAATGTCCCTGTTCACTGCAGAGGAGTTGGATTAGATGACCTTTAAAGGTCACTTTCAACTCAAACGATACTATGATAAAAATCCAGTAGGATGGCCAAGAGCTGACAGTAGGAGTTAAAGAGTTGTTACTCCCAGTATTGCCTAGATGGGCATCCAATCTGTGCATCTGCCTGGGAGGGATGCAAAGTGCCTCCCACTGTTTTCTGTCTCTGGGCAAGAGGAAGACACAGACTGTACTAAATCATCAAAAATAAAGAAGCAGATGCTCACACAGAAGAGAGGTTAATGGACAATGAACACCTGTTAACACCAGAATTTAGGTGGGAACCATTCTGCAAGTCTTACTGTTCAGAAGAAATGAGGATGTTGTTTTGGACTGCAGGAAACCTAGTCACTTCAAAATGACAGAAATGGAGAAATAAAGCAAAAAGAGTTAAACGGTAACTGGAAGCATGGTTAGAAAAAGCTTTTCAATGAGTTGTACTCATAAAGAACAAGAATCAAACAAAGAGGGCTGTTTGATGAAGGCCTTTAACAATAGCAAGAAAAGAAAAATAAACCCTAGAGAACAAACTGAATGACAGTTAAAACGTAAGATAGTGGTGTCACGCTGTAACTGCTTTACTCTGTATAGCTGGTTACCTCACAACACCAAACCCTTTAAAACCCTTTAAAATTCAGCTTAAAGATGACAGATGAGCACCGACACACAAAAACACAAGTTGACTTAAACAGTATGACTGCAATTGAGCCTCTAGCCCTCAGCACAGAAACTTGTATCAATCTGTGGCAAAGGGAATCTTGAGAAAAACAGAAGCAAAAGGATTGTTTTCAGTTTGTTATATGTGCAACTGGGAGCTTGTTAAGCACGCTGCTTTCTGTGAGCAGCATATGGCTGCAAGGAAGGCTGAGGTCAGCAGAATCTGTGTGATTAACAGCTCTTCCAGTCTGGCAACGCACTGGTACGAACAGAGACAGAAGCAGGCAGAATGATAACATCCCTCATTTTAAAGTGGATTCGATTTCAGGTAGATCTGTGGGGCTTTATTTTCAAGTCACAGATGCTATGGCAAGTACAGCCATTGCATTAAACGCACTGAAAAAGTCTTGTTTGTACTTTGACAATGTCAGACTTGAACTGATGTTTGAACTACGGTAGCTCCCCACACTTTAATACTTGCCCTTAAGTACTCCCACCCTGAGCACGTAAGTGTCCTCTCAGTTCTCAGCATTCAGGTTTACATATCTATCATACTCCACTTTCCCTTTGGCAGCTCACACAGGAGGCTTCTCAGCATAAACACTTCCTTCCATTTCTGCCCGAGCAGCACCACGGGGCTTAAAACAAAACACCGGAACAAAACTTCCTGACAATGTAATAACATTTTTCCCATCGCACTCACTAAGTTCACACAAAGAAGCGTCCGTCAGGGCAGCACACGGCCCAGCCAGCTTCGTGCAGGTCCGTCAGCTCAGCACAACCAGTCCTACCTGTTCTCGGCCCCACCGCCCCAGAGGATGCGGAAACCCCCCCCCCGCAGTACGACCAGCTGTCAGAGAGCAAACAGAGGTAAAGCCAGCCGCAAGCCACCAGCCAGCCTCACCGGGAAGATGAGCGCGCGTCTCCGTACGCATCGCTACCTGCGAGGGCTGCCGTGCGGCGCTCCCTCACCGGCCCGCGTCTCTCGGCCGCCTCTGCGGGACGGACGCGCTTTTATGGCCCCGGCTCGCCTGGCCCCTTCCCACGCCCCCGGGCCAGCCCGCTCGCCGGGCCAAGGGCCAAGTTACGCGCGGTGCCTCCCGCCCGGGCCCGCACAGCGGGCGAGGAACGGCAAGAGGGCATCATCTTCGGCGCCTTCCTCTCAGCGGCGCACAACGTCACGCGAGCAGGCAGACGGGCGCACGCCCTCCCGAGACGCCGAGGGCGCTCCGCGAGGGGCACCTGGGCGACGGGCACCTGCCGGCTGCGCGCAGCGGAAGTCAGCGGGCGTCTGCGAGCCGCCGGGCACCTGCGAGGGCCGGCGGGACGGCGCGGGCGCGGAGCCGTTTGGTGCCGAGCGCCGCGGGGAGCCCCGCGTTGCCCCGTGCCAGCGGGGCGCGACGCCGGACACGGACACCCCGCGCGAGGCCCCCCGCCCGGCTCCCCGCCGCGGCCCCGCCTCACCCCGAACCGATGGCGCCTCCGCGCGGGGCCCCCCGGCCCGGGCCCCCGGCGCCGTCCTGTTACCTGCGCGGCGGGGGCAGGGGGCAGGAGCCGCCCCCGGGAGCGCCGGGGCAGCCCCGCATCCCCAGCGCGGCGGGGCGGGGCGCGGCCGCGGCCGGTGCCAGCCCGAACCGGTTGTAACTTGGCGGGGGGAGGAGCCGCCGGGGGCCGCCGCCACCGCCTCCTCCCGCAGCCTCGGGGCGGGGGGATGAGGGGGGGTTGCCCGGCCGCAGGCGCGGCCCCGGCCCCGCGGGCCCCGAGCGACCCCTTCGGGCGAGCGCCCCGCTCGCCTCCGCCGCGGCCCCGGCCCTCCTCCGCGTTCCGGGCGGCCCCCGGCCCCGCCGCCTCCTCCCGCCGGCAAGTCTCGCTGCCTCCCCCGTTTTTATTGACGCGTCCGTGGCGAAGCCTCGCAGGCACAGCCGCCGCTTCTCTCGCTTTTAACGCGCCCGGGTGCGCGCAGCAGCCTCCCCGCGGCAGAAGGGGATCGCGGCCGCGCCGCTGGGTGACCGCAGGCGCTTCCTTGCGGCATCACGGCCGGCCCGGAGCTCCCCCCGTTCGGCGCGCTGCGGCTTTCCCCCCGCGGTCTGCAGAAGCCGCCCGACACCGCAGCCTGCGCGTCCCGTGTGACAGCCGTGCCGCTGCCCCGCCAGGCCGGCTCTAACGCCCGCACCCGCATCAGCTGCAGCCGGAAATAGAAATATTCCCACAGACGAGTGGCTGCTGACATTCTGAAGCAATTTAAACCGTTCACAGCCCCCGCAGCAGTGACAGGCACGACAGAACTCCTTTTTGGTATCGGCAGTCCAGACTGACTCCTCCACCCACAATTTGTAAAGGTCCGTGAACTACAGCAGTTTTTTAAGGTGCTTAAATCTACCTCAGAGTGTTCAAGAAAATAAAGAAACACTGCCAGAAGGAGTGACAGATGTATGATATGAACTCCATCCCTATTTCTGAGACAGTGCTGTAGTGCAAAAAGCTCTGTTTGTGTACTTCAAACCAGAAAGAGCAGTCTAAAAGACAAGAACAGAAACCATCAGGGCACTAGAAAACTGGGAGTGGGAGAAAGCTATATGGGGTTTAACCTAAAGAGAAGGCAGAGTAGAATGACACATAACACTCTTCCAGAAAATAAAACAAGTCACTGCAAAGAAAAAGGAACAAACTTATGCTAGCCATAACCAAGAGGTCAGCAGGCCTCGGCTCCATCAGAGGATTTTGCATTACATATTAGGAAAAGTAAGGTTAACGTGGTACTGGCAGAGATTTCCCTGGGAGAGCGTGGCATTTCGCAAACACACGCACCGGGTTGCCTAAGTGAGAAGTGACTGAAGACAGCTGCCCAGCCAGCACAGTCTCCATTTACTTCAGTCATTCCTTGGGCTCCATGACAGCCGAAGTGGAAAGGCCACTTGAAATCTTACTGTAGCCACATGAGGAGCAGCTGGAAAATAACAATTCTGAAATGACCATTCAAGTTGTGCTGTTTCCTATACGTAATAGAAAACTAACAACTCTGATAAAACTCATTTTTTCCATATAAGCGTACAGATGCCCCAGTTCCCATTACAGCACTTGACAGAAGTGTTTTGCTTTTTGAATTCTGCAAAAGCTTAGGAAACAATGCTGCGGGCTAAAATTAAACACAGAACATTTCGGTCTACCAAGATTGGTTACAAGCATCAGAAAAAAAAGAGTGAAGAAGAATATTTGTGTATTCTCAAGTAGATTGCACAGAAGAAGCTAAAAGTTAATTGTGGCTTATCTGTACAGGAACATTCAAAGGAGTTGTGCATCAGTTGCAGCATACATTAAAATAACCTGGCTCTTCTGCAGAGGAAGTGGTCCAAGGCATATGAAATCCAACCTCACATCACAAGCAGCTTCGGACCTAAAGGAGAAACCTCACTTGAGAAATAAAATGCACTTTACATGAGTGCATATTGATCCTAATTGCTTTACCTTAACTTTTTTGGATGTCCTCCTATTGAGAAGTCCTCTGCTTTAAATTTAACTCTGCCTTTCATATGAACAAGCCAGTCAAGCACATATCATAATTTTGAGAGGGCAGCCTTGCTAGGAAAAAAACAGACCTATGAAAATGAGCCACAGAAGCCAAAGGCAAGAGGGAAGAGTCCCTCCTCCACGTCTGCTTCATCCTTGGTTTTGCAACAATCAACTTATCTCCCTCCAATTCCAGGTTTTTGCTCACAGCCTACAGTGTTTTGGCAGCTGCCACTTGGCTTAGTTCTCAAATCAGTGATTAATCTCATTTCTTCACATCAGAAACCCTTCCTAAAGGGCCTCAAAGACAAGCAAATTGTAACAGTGCCACAGCTGCATCTTTCATAGTTATGCTTTTGTCCCATACATCACCAGGAGAATTCTCAATCTTCTGCTCCAAAATAGAAAACAAAGGGAAGCACAAAGAATGCCTATAGCAGCCCTCCCCAGGTTTAGGGTTTAGCAGCCCTCTAGGGTTTAGGAATCCAAAGGGCAAAGATACTCATGAAACATGGCCAGACATGAGACCAACACTTAGTTAAAAAATTACCTTATTTTGGTCTAGCATGATCTCAGGATGTGTAATTCTAGGTCACCTGAAGCTGTATGGGTGTACAGATAGATGATCTGCTCTGCAGGTGGTGCAGCAATGGCAGCTCCTGAGGGCATAGAGAAGTGTAGAGTGCATCCATACAGCCCCCTGGAAGGAGTATTTGCCAGGCACTGAATGCAGCTGGTGAGCTGAATAACCCAAAGGGATTATTCAAACAGAGCTTTTTGCACTACAGCACAGTCTCAGTTTAAAGTGGTGGTTTTTCTTTGCTGTCATTGTTTTATTATCAGAAGGTACATAATCTGCTATGGAGGAAAACCTCAAAACACAGAACTATTCTACATAATAGATCTCCTACCGTCCTCTAACCTGTGGTCCAGGCTGGGAAGCACCCTTTTGTACACTTGCAGTCTTTACAAGATCTCTGTAGGTGAAGTGACTCTAGAACTACAAATTCAAACTAATAAGTCCAAAGTTCGTCATCTGCTTGGGCGTTTTAACTTACTTGTAGAAAATGTTCATTAATGATTGAAGGGAAAAAAGGTGAGGAAAGCAATCAGTATAATTTACGTGGATGTATTAAACATCTGTGTTTAAAGTCACAGAGTCTAAAGGACAGTCATATGTTATAATTTAACCTTTCATGTGAGAGGCAGAAAAAACAAAGCCGCTGGACCACATTAAACAGGATCTTTACACCTTCTTTAAGATTTGTGTGAAAGGGAGCAAGATTGCTTAAGCTGCAAAGAACTCTCATTTCCCCCCAGATGCCCAAAGGGTACTGCAATAGCCCCTAGTGCCATCGGGGCTGTGCTGACAGGGAACTCAGCATGCAGTGCAAAGAGCCAGGTCCAGCAGCAGAAACACTGCATCTGTCTTGCCAACAGGCAGTGCTATGCACCCACACTGTGGTCTTCTGAAAGGTCCCGTAAGGTGGACCAGGCCTGAAGCAGGTGGTCAGACATGCAGCCAGGCTAACTGCTGTCTGGCAGACTGTGTACTTCGGAATGCTGATAAATAGTTTCCTAACTTAGTCTTCAAAAATGCACGCGCCAGATAAATGCCATTTTTGAACATGCAAAACTTGTAACAAGAAATAAGTAGTAGTCATCTAGTTTGAAAAATACAATCTATGATCTCCTTTGTTGCTTTTGCATTACTGTGTAAGATTTTTTTTTAGGTTCTCACACTAATAATTTAAGTGATAAGGCCATGGAAAGATTATAGGAAAATGCTGCCTGAAAAAAAAAAAAAAAACAATTTTATCTTGTTTCTCATTTAAATTGCTATGCAATGGATTCAATTATTGTAGTCACAAGGACTGTCTTCTGAAGATTTCACAACGACGTGTACTTAGATTTTTTGTAATAAACTAGGGAACTATGACAACTTTTCCATAGTGTAATTTTACTAATCGCCCTATGTCTATTCATTCTCTATGCTGATCAATGAACTATTTGGGTTCCTGAATTAATTATATTTTATGTATTAGGACAGTAAGAAAAAAATCACAGTAACTTAAAGCATTTTAAAAAAATTATCTTTCAACTAAAATGCAATAGTATACGTGAAATGATAAATAACTGCTGGTAGCATGAAGAACATTTGCTAAATGTAAAATGGAAATAAGATGACAGTACTACATCTTCGAGCAAAGAAATATTATTTCCATTTCTCAGAGCATTCACTTTTACTGAACACAAAGGACGTATTTATTATGGCATAGGTCTCTCATGACCTCTGTGTGAGCCATAAATCCACTGAGATCAATGCCAGCATACACCACAGGTGTATGGAGATTTTCTCTTATTGCAGTCCTCTCGTGAAACATCCCTCATAGCAAAGCAAAACTTAAGACCAGGATAGCTCAGATCTGTCTTAGGGAAAAGATTCAATTTCCTCTATAAATTGGAGAAAGGCTTCTTGTGGAAAAAGGCAAGGATCACAGCCATCCCACCTGGGAACAGATCTCATA